AAAGGGGACAAAACGGGCCTGAACTCACCGGGGACACCCCCCAGCGCAGGCAGCTGGCGCCGGAGGGGCCTTCAGCAGCCTACCTGGGGATGAACAATGGTGTCCGCATCGTCCAGCCGGATGTTGTCGTCGATGAAGATGTGGTGAATGCCGGGATCATGGGGGTCGATCCACAGGGGCTTCCCACCCTGGGAAGAGAACTGATTTCTGGCCCACCTGAAACAGCAAGCGGGACAAGGAGCAGTCAGGGGAGGGAGAGCGCGACAGCTCTCAGGTAAAGGCAGGTAAGGCTGCACTGCGGACTCAGGGCAACCCTGTGAGCCGGGGAAGTGGGACGGAGACCGTCCTGTCCCTCTGCCCGCTGCTGCTGCTCGTGAAAGAGAAGCATTTTGCAGTGAGGTGACAAATCAGGGGGTGTTTGGAGAAAAGCAGGAGGTACACCGGGGGATGGAGACCTGAGGAAAGATGCGAGAGCCCCATCAGGCTGCCCATAGGCAAAACGGGGAGCACGTAAGTAACAAAGACCTCAAAACTAGGAGCTATCCCAGACCGGGAGAAGCTCAGAGAATCACGGGAGAAGAGAAAGTGCCCAACCCACTTCCTCGGTGGCCTGCTTCTCACCAGTCAAAGTGGTCTTGGAAGCCTCCAATTCCCTCAAAGGAGCTGAAGTAGTCGTAAAGCTTTCTTCCATCTTCCCGGGTGGCCAGCCGCTCTGCTCCCCTTGTCAGCACCACCTCTCGCTTGCTGCAGCGTATCTGGCCAGGGGTGAGGTCCACAGGGAGCTGCAGGACCGCAGAAAGCAGGAGAGGAAAGGTTTCCAAAGCAGACAGGTTGTTTTGTGCATTGGCAGAGACAACAAGCAGCAGGGTGGAGACTCCCCACCACCATGTGGGAGGGCGGTGCTGGGGAGAAGACAAGAAGAGGCGTGGAACCCCCCCAACCAAAAATCATCCCCTCCCCTGGGATGGAAAGGAACGACCTCCTAGCTGCACCCTGCCTCCGTTTCAGCTTCTGTTCCCCTGTCAACGC